TTCCTTGAAAGTAATGAGTCAAATGACAGCAACATACAGTTCTCCAAGTGGTGTGTGGAAGTGCTGCAATGTCTGGATCTCTTTCCAGATAGGTGGTAATGTTGATTTAAGTAGTAAGCAGATTAGAAAGGAAATCTGGTTTTAATTTAATCCATTCAGTAACCAGTATAACAAAGGTGGTTGAACGAAGCTAACACTTGTCTGCATGGTTTTATTATTGAAGTATATACTATAGCAAAATGATTCAAATCTTCATCTTGGTATAGGAGCAGTATTTGAAATGTGTTCCCAGTACCGGCTAATGTCTCTTCTTATGCACAGAAAAGAAAAATGCAGAACTGAGAAATGTAAATTTTTTCTCTGACTGTGAAATTGTAAACACTTAGTGGAACAGCATATGGAACTTATGAAATCTGATGCTTTGAGAGTGTGAGTTACAAAATGCATCAAGGTTCAGTGTTCGCTTTTATTTACTCTTTTGGTATGTGATTTTTGAAGTGGCATAGTCACAGTGATTCTTTCTAGAGCATTTTACTTCTCTGTGTAACTTGAAAATCCAACAGGCAGTAAAACTTAATAGTAATATAAAATGGTTTTGATAATACACTCGTGTGTAGGATTGCAGTTCAAATGACAGACTATTAATTCAATGCTCTAATGTGAACCCTGTGTTCTCTTCATTAATATTGCTAGAAATATTCAGCATTGATAAAATTTACATTGGTATACGAGGACTGAAGGAAATCCAACGTGCTGCTTAATCTTGCAGAAACCCAGAGGGATTTGAAGTGTAAAAGATAGCGAAAACAAAATGTTACATTTTTGAGGTCAACAGAATCTCCTGCTGCACAATTTTAAAACATCCATGCATTTTTTCCTTTTCTGTCTCTAAAATATTGTGGGAAAGGAATTATGACAATAAAGGTGTTTAACACACTTATTGCCTTCAATTTAAGGCTATACTGTGTGTTTGAGGGAGGAAGACAACAGGTATGAAAGTGTCTGTTAGCTATACTTGGACCTCCCTGTAGCAGAGCTGCCATATATATGTAGAATGAATGTGTGACTGTGCAGGAGACACAGGCAACTTTTAAAAAAATTTAGTAGCAGAAATAGGAAAAGCAGTGCGTAACATTCAAGGGTAGATGTTATTTCCACCGTAAAATGACAGTGATCCATTCTGGATACATCCTTAGCAGTAAGACAATGGACCCAGGCACTGACACTGACATGAAATGACAAAGAATGCCCTATATACACACTGTGTGGGAGTGTTTCCTTGGACATTCTAAATGCCAGACTCCTCCTGGACACTGCTCAAACTGCTTTGGCTACCTGGTAATAGCCAAAAGCATGCAGCAGAAATCCAAATAGGTCACTAGTGTAAGCAATCACACTTCAGTGGTGGGTAACATTCTTGACTCTACGTGATAAACACTGAACTTAAGTCTGACCTTATTAAGAAAGCACTCATACCAACAAAATGTAAATGCTTTTGTTTTTTAATTATTTTTAACTTGGAATTCTTTTAGCTTCTAATCATCTGGTTTGGCTTTTTTTGAAGTATCTAGTGAATATATATGTACACAGGTAGATAAAAAAATATATTTTCTGTCTTCCAAACAGCTTTTTTGAAAGTTGACATGGGAGCCTGAAGTTACTATCTTTTCCAGTTCTTTGAAGTAAATTATTGCCAGATTTAAACCACATCAGGTCTTCACCGTGATTCTATGATTCACTTATAAGGATATTTTCTACTTTTGTTTTGATGCTGTTCAACTCAGCTGATAAGATTGAGAATTGATTATCAGTAGGCTTATGAAAGCTGAAACTACGTGTTATTCAACTTACTGTTACAGTTGTGCTTCAGTGAAATCTTACTGAACTGCTGGGTAAATGGGTGCTGCTGAGTTAATCCCTGAGTTACCCCTTTACTCCTGCTCCCTTCCCAGGCAGCCAGACTACATTATGATGGTAAAGAAAAACATCTAAGAATATCCAGTAAATCAAAGAATTTACTTCAGTTTCAGTTATTTTCAATAGCAAAGGCAAAACTTCACCAAGGGATATTAGTGATATTTACATAATTAGTGATAAAGTCAGTTATTCAGTCTTCTCACCCCTAGTCCAGTGGCTGGATCATTTACATGGCCAGAACAATGAAGGCACCTGTGTACTTCAGCCACTGGGCTGGTCTTTCACCTGCTCTCCTGTCTGGCCATATGTGAAAAGCTTCCACAGTATTTAACTATTTTACATAGTGACAGAATTGTGAGTGCCTCTACTTAAAAAAAAAAAAAAAATTACATAAAAAGATCTGAGTAAATATTTTTTTCCATATGAAATGTGAATAGCCAAATGGGAACTGAAGCTTTACTTACTGTAAGAGCAATCCTAGTGAGAAAATGGAGTTTAGAAGTTTGTCTGCAGACAGGGACAGATGTAACAACAATTTTCCCTAATCAGAGTCCCATTACTTTCAGTTAAGATTTTTGTGCACGCATTTTATAAGCAAATAGAATTATTTAAATTTAAAATAAATATCTGATCAAATTCTCCCCTTAAAGGGAATGAGCCTAAAACAGCAAATGAAGAGTTCAGGTGTAGCAGGCCTGAGGTTTACCAATCACAGGTGGAAACCATTGATATCAATCTGTGCACAGGAGTCAAAAGCAATTAGATGTATGAAGTTGCAGTGAACTGGAAACATGCAAAAAATTATTTCCAGGATCTTGACCAATGGCAAGTAACCTCTGAAAATGAGCTATATTGATCACATGCCTTTGTGCAGCCATGCTATGAGGCTACTTCAACTGTACTCTAGTTTTCAGGTGTTCTAGTCAGAGTTAGTGTCTATTCAGTTGAAGAGGGCGTAAAGCACAACCTTTGGCAGTATCTGTATTACATGTTAATTAGAAGAGAACACAAGAAATGTGCTTCACCAAAAAGAAACCTGGATCACTTATGTAAGGTCACAAAGAAAAAAAATACTCATGTAACATCGATCTTGTGGCAAACCATTGTGAACTTTCTTAAAAGTCCTCACAGGTCTGTAGCCTCTTTAATAAAGTATTTCCTGAAAGGGTCTAATATTAAAAATATGACAATATTTTTATAAAAGTATGCTTTTGGTACGCTGGATAGTAACAAAATACCAGCAGTGGGATTGCACAAATATTTCGGTATTAAGTGATCATCCTCTCCTAGAGAACAAACAAAAAGAAATACCATCTCAATATGATCGTATTGTAAGGTGGGCAAATGAAAACTCAGATTTTCTTTCCTTTTTTTGAGAGTGGACTTTGTTCAGTTAACAGAAAGCAAGTATCTAGAGACTGCTATGGTAACTTGCAGCACTGGAGAAGAGTGCTGCTATGACAGCCTCATGCAAAGCAGAGCCAACTGCACAGCCTTCCCGTCATGCTGCAGCTGTGTCCAGCCCTAACAGAGGGCAATAGCTGGAGTTCTGGAAGGCCATTTCTGCTCTTTTCAGTCCTGGGTTCATAATTTATATTTCAGATGTGACTACAGATTGTTAACATGCATGAATGAAATAACTAAATAATTAAAAGAACTATTCATATTTCGCTAGTCTATTGGTGTAGTTTTCCAATAATAATCATGCTCTGTAATGGCATTATGCTATAGTTCTGCTATCAGTATTTTCCAAGGATTTATAGATATATTTCATTAAGCAGACGTAGATTCGCAGTAGGAATTTCCATGCTATGGTTTATAGTTGCATATACACCATTTCCAGTGTGAGACCAGTCCATGCTTGCTCCATAGAAGGTAACGTTATGAAGTTTAGGAAAGCAAGTCAAACAGAAGTTTGAACTAGAGATGGCAGAAGTTTTAACCCACAGAAGTGGTCCGAAGAGTGGCACAGAGAGTATTTTGTTTTTGTTAGCCATCGCAATCCTAGCTAAATACACAAACAGTTAATAAAGAATGGTTGTGGGCTTTTTTCCTATTCCAGTCAAAAATAAAAAGGAGGTATATTATCTACTTTTTCTAAAGTCCTCAAAGAATGCTGTCATCATAAAATTATGTGCACAGAATACACTTATAGCTTAATTAGTATTTAAAATATATAATCATGCTTTGATAAATGCAGTAACTCTCCCTTGCACTGAACTAACACAGCATACAATGCCATCATTTCCAACCACCACCATGTTTTCCTGACTATCTTAAGCCATCGTTCACCATTTCATAACTGGGTAAATGGAATTTGTTTAATTACTTCATTGTATACCTCATTCTCATAAGGAAAATAACAAATTTTCATGTATGTGAACTTGTGAGTGATGAGAGAGGTTTTTTTAATTATTTATTTAGGAAAGCAGCTGAAATTGTAAGAGTAGATCAGCATTAAAATCAAAGTTTCTGGCTGCTGAGTTCAAGCGTGACTCACTCTGGCAATATAAACGTATTGAATTAAAATCCGTTCAACACAGCATTACAGACAAGCAGGCTTTTCTGCCATTTAACCATAGGGAATTCTTACTGCAAAGCAGATCTCACACGGTTCCGCAGGCGCTGCGGGTGAATCGCTCGCTGGCACGGCAGGTCGCACGGTCACACAGCGGCACCGCGGTGCCGGTGATCACCAGCACCACTTAACACTTGGAAACGAAGCACGCCTTGGTGCGCCATTGGTTTGTTTTCTTTTAAGACACGATAGGACTCGCCTAGCGATTAAAGCCGCTGACAACCCTCGAAACGATTCACGGCCAGATGGAGGCGATGGCCATCCCAGCCTGAGATCGCAGCGCGGAAAGAGAGCGCCGGGCGGGAGCCGCGTGCCGGACAATAGCGCCGCTCCCGGGGCAGCCGAAGCGCGGCTCGGCGCGTTCCCCCGCGGCCGGTCCCGCACCCCGCCCGCTTCTCCGGCCCCGTTCCTTCGCCGGGAAAGTTTGCCCGGGCGCGGAGCCCCCAGCGCAGGGCCGCGCCTCGTCGCCCCCGCCCGCCCTCCGTCCCTCCGCCGCGCCGCTCACCTGTCGTCGCTCTGCCAGCCCTGGTCGCCCAGCAGCAGATCTCGGAAGCGGTACCGCGGCGGCAGCGGGGGCACCTCGCTGTCCAAGTCCACCATCCTGCCCGGAGGAGGCGGACCGACCCGCGGAGCGCCGATCGCTCCCGGACGCCGGTCCGCGGCTCCGGGGATGGAGCGGCGCGGCACGGCGGCGGTGCCGGATCGGGGCCGGCCGTCCCCGGACGCCCGAGGCGGGCGCCGCGCCCTGCAGGCTCCGCGGGGCCGCTGACGGCCGCCGGGTTGAAAGTTCCGCCTCGCGCCGTGGGGCGGACAGGTGGCGGCGGGCGGCGGCGGCGCGCGCCCACCCACAACGCGCGAGCGCGCGCGCACCGCCCGCCCGCCGCGGTTGACAACAAAGAGCGGTCCAGCGCCATGCAAATGTTGTTCGGAGCCGCCGCGGGCCGGCCAGCCAATAGGGCGGGCGTTCGTTAGCGCGCTCCGGTGACGGTGCGGGAACCTCTGCCTGCCGGCCAATAGAAGGGCCGTCGGCGGCGTGCCGAGCGGGGGGCTGCTCGCCCCCGGGACGCGGGAGACGCCGCGCCGCACCTGTGCCGGGCTCCCAGCGGGCGCCTTCGTGCCCCGGGCGTTGCTCGGCACCTGCCGCGTTCGGTACCACCTGAGGCTGCCTCAGAAGTGCCTTTCCGTAGGCCCCGAACGTCGAAATAAAGATTGTTTGATCTCTGGGTGTTTTCTTACGATAGGTCGTTCTTTCTGTTGTTTCGTTCTTTTTTCACGTGCTCATCTTTAAGGATCCTCTCTGCAGACCCCGCGCTGCTGACAGCCTGCTTGGTTCTGCCAGAGCTTTGTCTTCTGCTCCTCTTTGTTCTAGCAGGCACGCCTTGGTGGCAGGCAGGCTCAGAGGGCTCCGTCAGGCTCCTATCCGGATACAGGTGGGTGTCTGCTCCATTGTAGGGCCAGTCTTCCTTACTGTTTTCGTTATTGTGAAGGACGCTAAATCGAGAGTAGCCGTTGAGCCCCTCTGCGGAGATGCCTTGCAGAGAGATCTTTACGAACCAGGCAGCTCAGCAACTGCCAATTTCATAAAGTTAATAAGAGCAAGTGGTGGATTCTGCACCTGGCACAGGACAACCCTGAGTACGTACACAGGCTTTGGTTTGAAAGGCTGGAGCGCAGCTCCAAAGAAAGGGATCTGCAGTTCTGGCTGATGTGAAAACAGAGCTGAGCCAGCAGTGTGCTCTGGTGGCCAAAGGGCTGACTGTGCCCTGGGCAGCAGTGTGCCCAGTACTGCCACCGGGTGAGGGAAAGGGCTGTCCTGCTGTGCTCTGTGCGGCCTCGCCTCTATCATGGTGCAGTTTGGGTACCACAGTGTAAGAAAGGCATAGAACTGTTAGAAAGCATCCAAAGGAGAGGTACAAATATGGTGAAGGGTATGTAGGACAAGGTATATGAGGAACACTGAGGCCCCTGTGTTTGCACAGTCCAGAGCAGAGGAGCTGTGAGGGGAGGCTTCATGACAGCCTACAGTTCCTTGCAGGGGGAGCACTGAGCTCTGCTCTCTGGTGACAGTGACAGGCACTGAGGGAACGGCATGGAACTGCGTCAAGGGAGGATCAGGTGTGGGTTAGAGAAACGTTCTGCCCTGGAGAGCCATGGGCATGGATCAGGCTGCCCAGGGCACTGGGCACAGCCCCAAGTGCCAGAGTTCAAGGGGCATTTGGACACCACTCTCAGATACATGGACTGCTGTGCAGGCAGTTCTGTTTGGAACCAGGAGTTGGACTGGATGATCCTTGTGGGTACCTTCTAATTCCGGCTATTCTATGGTACTGTGTTACATGGCTGATGCTGTTTTGTGTCAATTCTTTTGAAATCTTAGGTGCAAACATGGTAAGACATTGATTGGTTTGCACTTTTTATTATTTGAGTTTTTGCTTTGAATTTCAGGAGTGCTGGCACAGGCCCCATAAATATCTAGGGAAGCTGGGTTGTTTAGATGCACAGTTGTGCAGCTGACGTGGCTGACTCCCAACAGAAGGGGCCCACCTACCTGTGAGTTTGACCTTGTCAATCTACCAAACGAAGACTGAAACCTCTCAAGCGGATGAAGTTCTTCCATACTTCCAGTGTAATCCATTCACAGGGATACTCAGGAAGTAGCTGAGGTTCTTTAGCGGTGCCTGGAATTTGTTTTTAAATGATTTCCTTTTATTACTTAGACTTTAACTTGATGGGCCTTACAAATAGGCAGATCTATCAAAGGGGTTATATGTATTTATTCTTTCCCTGGCTATTTATTCCCACCCCCACAGAGCCTAGAACACAAGCAGCTGAAAAATAACCTTTTTTTTTTTTTTTTTTTTTAATTATTTTCTGGGTTAGTTTTCATTTCCGTAAGTTTCCTAAACCCAAGTTCGACATATGTGCTGGCAAAAGATGCAGCTACTGCAGAGCAGTAGTGAGGCAGTATAACAAGACATAAGGTAGGGAAGACCTACTTCTTTCAGCAGTAGATCTGCGTAAGTCTAAAGTACAGTTCTGTTTTCTATGGGAACCAGCATCAACCAAATGCTTCTTAATTATATGCGTTCGTTTGCACCTTTCTTTGCCATTGTTTTGTGTAGCTTTTCAGTGTAGTCTTCAACTTATGCTTTTAGAATTTAGCTATGTGGTGACTGTGTAGAATTGTATAATTTTGCTTTTTCTTTTTTTCTTTTTTTTCTTGTAGCTCCTCCCTGTACCTATCTCACCTTCCTTACCATCTCACCTTTTGTTGTTGTTTTTCAGGTCTCTAACCTCCACCTGCAGGTTCATTCAAGATTAAATACAAAAATCCTGTCCTACTTGTGTTTTCTGCCAAGCAAAATACTTTTATATGTTGCTAACTGTTCTGAGTGACATCAGTCTGTAACATTTGACTGTTACATTTGTTGAAGTCCAGCAAAGTTTCAAGTGTTAGTCTTAAACATATAAACATGTTATACTCCTTTACAGCCTCTGAATTGCACAAGGAAAACCAAAGCCTGAAGATAAACTTCGTAGTCAGTGACTGAAATGGGAGGTGGTATAGGAAACACTTTGATTTCTTATGTGACCGGTGAAGTATAGACTACCAATATGAGGGCCTGTTTGAATTCCCTGTCTGAATTGAAATAGCAGATAGGTTTGTGTTTTTTTTATTCCTATAATCACTAAAATCTAGACTGCCATATGTACCACAGTCATACTTAGTGTCCAATGCCTTTGTTTACCAGCTTTGGTACCAAACAGAAATTCCTTTATTAAAGTGAAGTCATACACAGTGTAACAACGGTGGTACAGTTTTTAAGCATGGCTTTCACAGCTTGTTGCATTCGGAGTTTACTTTCTTGCTTCTCATAAGCGTTTGTTAGATTAAACAAAACAGATGCACTTATGTGGCAAAAGTTCAAAGGTAAGTTGTTCTTTGCTTTGGCTGGTATGAAAAATAAATTAAATAACGAATTACCCTGCTGTCACTCTCTTGCCAGTTTTACTGTGCTGTGTTCAGAAGTTAGAGCTCTCTGAAACTTCAAAAAAAGGAAAGTACAGTCTTTCTCCATTAAAATACTTGTTACAAGCAGCTGATTTTTCTTTCTCAGCTGCTTCTACAGTTGAACAAGATGTCTCTTCTTAGAAAACATTGTTTCTTCACTTTGCCCCAGTATCTTTTCATCCTGCCAAAACTTCCTTGTTCTCTGTATTTGTTCCTTCACTTGAGGCAGTGGGAAATCCGTCTGTTATAATGACTTGCCTCAGAAGTAAAATGAGGTTTAGGCTAGCTACAGTCCTTTTCTGAAGTCTATAGATCATGGGTCAAATGAGAAATTAATGGTGTGTCTACTGTCTCTTCTAACTGCCTCATTAATTTTTCCACCCTAATTGATTACTCTAGCATTTGTTTTCATACTCGAGGAGCTAAGTAGAAATAGAAGCCGTAACACTTCTTCTACCATGGAAATGCATTTCAAAATGGCATTAGCTGACCCGGTAAACTAGCAACCGGGTTAATAGTTGAGCAGAGCAAACAGAAAGCAAACTCATAACTGAAACTATAGTCGTGCAATCTATAAAGAAGCTTAATTTTATTCTCCTAAGTAATATAAACTGTTTGCATTATAAAATAACTGTTTTCTTTCATGTCTGACAGCATGTGGCCTGCTCTGTCTGAAATGCTGTTAGGTACATAAAATTGGGCAGAAATGGGATTTAAGTTAGCTGAATTCAATGTTTTGATTAGTGACACAAAACACCGGGGGATGTCTTCAAGCTGAAGAGACACTGAGTCTTTTGCTTGGAGGCAAACGCTCTTATACACAAGCTGTTGTACTGGGTCACTACACTCAAGTGAAGATTTCCTTCTGCAGTGCTTACGTGTTAAAGAAAAGCTGTGAGCTGCTCTCAGTTCTTTCAGGGAACAAATGTAGGTTCATACTCTCAAGGAATTATTTTGGCCCTGAGGAGTGTCACAAGCATCTGTGGCACTGAATTGAGGACTGAAAATAGACTTTAATGAATATGTCCCAAAAAAAAAAAAAAAAAAAAAAAAAAAAAAAAAAAACTGGCTAGATACAGGAGAGTAAGTCTGCCCTAGCACTTAACTCTGAAGTTTAAGGGAGGCAGAGGGAGAAAGAGCTGGGTTCCTGAATGTTTTGCTAGTGATTATGTAGAAATCTTGGGTCATTCTGAGGTACAGAAAGAATAGTGTTCAAGCTTCCTCTTTATGTTACTCATATATTTGGTGGAATATAGGTAAAACATCAGCTGGAACAATTTCTAGGTTGATCTGAAAGTAATGCCTCCTATTTATTTCCATGGAAACTATAAGGAATACAAAGAGCACAATAGTACTGTTTGATAGATCAAATTCTCAGCTTTAAAACATAATTTTTCAGCATAGTCACCACCATTACCTATGCATTTTCTTCAGTGATGAACAAGAGTCTGCGTGCTGCACTTGCAAGAATCTGCACAAGAGGAGGTGACCCACTGTTTCACAGCTGCTATGACAGCATTTCTGCTAGGAAAATATTGCCCACGCAGTCCTTCTTTCATTGGCCTGAACAGATGGAAGTCAGAAGGTACCAAATCTGGACTTTATGGGGGGTTTAGTAAGACAGCCCAGCCAGGATTCACAATGTGCTTCATGACCTTCAAACTGATATGTGGCTT